TTTGAAGTTTTATTGACAACACAGTTAAATTCACCAAAATATGTCTCACTCCAAACCCTACAAATTTTGTCTGAAATATTTTTTTTCTATTTTGCTTTATTTTTATTATATTAAAATGTTTCAATTTAAGTACCTCACTCTATATATATATATATATATAATAAATATATATATATATATATATATATATATATATTTATTTATTTATTTATATTATATACGTATAAATGGATATAGTTGATTTAATACTGTCACCATTTGCAGTAATGTTAGATTAATATGGGTTAAAGGCCGCGCGTTGTATTAGGACTCTCTTTCGACTTCTTTTTTAGCAGAAAGCTGCAGGTATTATGTTAGCCATTATGGGGCGTTTACGCATATAATACAGTAGTCTGCGTCTACTCGTAGACAATGTAAACATGTGTACATATGTATAATATGTCATCCATGTGTAGACAATAAGTAATTCATGAATCGTTATAAAATGGTTTGTGGTTTTTTTACATTTTGTAAGTCTTATTTTTATATTTTGTTTTTGATATAAAAGTCTATAGATGAACCTGAATGATAACATTTGTATGTTAACAGTATGAACATCTTCTACATCACTATGCAGGTATTTTAAATATACTTAAAGTAAATTATATCTAACTTTATCTAATTTTACCTTATCAAGATTAGTGAAATTATTTGGTTAAATATGGCACAATTTCAGTATTTTACGATGCCACGAAAAATCATTAGTGGATTTAGCGAGCTTAATTTCATACTGATAAAAAAGGAAAACAAGTATTATATCTATCATGAATGACTGTTTTTTTCCGTTTAAAAGTCTACAGATGAATTTGAATGATAACATGTCTGTGTTACCTGCATATATCAACTTTCTAATCTTTAATATTAAACATCTCTATAATCAATATAAAAATCGGATATGTGAATTATTTTATAGTTCAAACTAATTTAAACTAATAATTTATTCTTTCTCTTTGCACTGTGTTATGTAATTTGTAATATTTTATATAGTTTACATTGTCTACGTGAGAAAAGTTCGTGTAAATATCACATAAACAATACGTAAATTATTCATTTAACATAATCTTGAAATCTAAGGCACAACTCTGGTGGTTCGCATAACCGTTCCTCTCCCCCCTCCATTCTCCACTTCGAGTTCATAATTTCTGAACTGTCGACAATTAGCGGTTTTAACGGTGTATGCCGCTACTAACCGATATTATTCGAGCCTTTTTATTTTCTTCCTTCTTTCTTCGCGCTCCACGGAATTTCCGAATTCACGCGCAGCGAGACCCAGGCGACGCGCGTCGTGTCGCGGCGAAAGCGAGGAATCCGCGAAAAGAGATATTTACACGACGTTGAAAATAAAATCGGACGACTGCGAGGCGGGAGAATTCGCTCGGTCTGTTGCACCCTCCACGCCGCTCAAAATAACACGCGAATGCATCGCCTCAAACGGCGGCCTCGCGGTGACATTTTTCCAGTTAGCTTTCCGTGGACGCGTCGAAAGTCCAGGAAATTTGATCGGGAATTTCCAATATCCAGGGCCGTTATCTGGCAAGAAACGGTCTAAATACATAGATTTCAGTGCAGGGATAAGATTACGTGTCCGCAGCTGCTGCGTCATTTCAAGCTTACCCATTCAACCCATTTATTGCTCACTTCCCCCCCCCCCCC